TCTGAGGAAGGGTCACCGGACCCGAAACGTTAACTCTGTTTTCTCCTTCACAGATGCTGCCAGACCTGCTGAGCTTTTCCAGCAACTTCTGTTCTTGTTTGCTGGTTTCTTGTTCTGGGCTAGAACCTTTCAGTAGTTTCTTATGTGCTAACTTTGATGATAGCTCCCTCTTTTTCCCTGCCAGCATCTGAGCCCTTTTCCTTCTCTCTGCCTACCCTCCATGTGACAACCTACATCCCTGTCACTGTGCTGCTACAGAGCGTGTGCCGGTAGGGTGGGCTGGTGGGCTACTGTGCCCCATGGCCAAGGAAAAGGGGGCGATGGCTCCTCACTCTGCTTTGCCAGGCCTCAGGCAATTGTCGGAGAGAGTCCCCAACAACTGAGTCTATTCCCCCCCTCTTCCATACCCAATTGACTTTAATGAAGTTACATTCACAGATTAAAGGTAATTTTTGAGACAGACATGGTGTCGGAGGTCCTGGCTGTGAGGTGTATGTGTTGGAGCTCGTTAGCAGCTGTCTGTTTAATTATCAGAGATGATAAAGAGATGCTAACAGCATATGGTGAGAGAAAGATTGTTAGTGCTTTCAATTTGAAGAAGCACATGAGAGGACGAGTGAGGCATGTAGGATAACCAGGAGCAACCTGAAATCTGTAATATGAATTAACAAAGTGAAGCCCAGATCTCTATCCAGTCTGCTTCAGACCATAGGATTTGTTCTGTACTTTGCTTTATTTTCTCTCTTTGATGTTCACCAAAGCTGTTCTTCAGTAAAAATGCCAGTTATTTTTCTCAACAAGATTTGCTGTTTTCCCATCTTCACAGTGATGATTGTGGCAGATATATTCTTGCTCTCTGCATCTCGATGCTTTCATCCTGCTTCACTGTCTATACTTCCTTCACATTCTTACTTCCTCGACCAGCTTTGTGCACACATATCTGCTCATCACCATCTTTTTCACTGTTCCTGTTTACCAAACACATTTTCATTTCCTCCTCTTCTTTTTCCCTCTCACACTTGTTCTTTCGCTCCTGCACTCTCTCTGCCTTCCTGCTGCCGTATTCCCTACTCACTCACTCACTCACACACTCACTCACTCTTTCCCTCTCCAACACACACACTCTCTTGTCTCACTCACTCTCACTGTCATTCTCACTCACATTCTCACTCTCCCCCACACTGTCACTATCTGTCTCACACACACTCTCCCTCACACAAGTCTCTTGCAAATTTCTCACACTCTGTCTCAGGCACTCTCTCACAATCACACACTATCACACACTCAAACACTTTCTCTCAGTCTCTCTCACACTCTCTCACACATACACTCCCTCTCACACACCCTTTCCCACTCTATTTCTCTCTCTGTCTCACACACTCTCACTCTCACACACTCTCTCACATACACAGTCTCACACACACACCCTCTCTCACACACACCCTCTCTAACTCTTATTTCTCTCTCTCACACTCTCACTTTCACACACTCTCTCTCTCATGTACACACTCTCTCACACACCCTCTCTCACTCTATTTCTCTCTCACTCTCACACACTCTCTCTCTCACCTACCTACTCTCTCTCGCACACACACTCTCTCTCTCATGCACACACTCTCTCACACACACTCTCTCACTCTATTTCTCTCTCTCGCTCACACACTCTCACTGTCATACACTGTCTCTCTCTCTCAGACACACGTGCAGGAGGAGAGTGTGCATTGATCAAAGGATCTCTCCACATGCCTGAAGAAGGTCCTGTCCTGGGCTTTTGTTGTCATTCCAATGGGGTAGACCCATTCCTGCCCTCACAGCTGCCATGCCAATACGCAAAGGGAGAAGTTGAGAAGGAGAATCCTTCGTGTTCACCTCAGTCGATGTAGGGGAGTGAATCCTGTTATTGGCATCACTGTATATCAGAAAAACCAGGTTTCCAGCTATCAGTGCTAACTGGAGCCACCATGCTATGGTAGAGGGCCCTTGGCCTTGTTAAACAATCAATCACTACAGACTGAGATGAGAAGACATTTCTCCAACCAAAGGATTGTGAATCTTTGGATTCCTCTGACCCTGGAGATGATCCATTGTTGACTACATTTAAGGTTGGGATAGAGAGATTTCCCATCCCTTCGGAATCATGGGATATGGGGAACAGTGCAAAATGTTGCTAGTATTAATTATGGCGCAGGCTCGATGGGCTGAATGGCTCCTATTTCTGGTTATCTTGTGCTGTGACTCACATCTTATGACTTAGGCAGGTGGACATCACCAGAGCGTCTCTGTAGCAGCAATGAGACTGGGTTAACAATCCAGAGAAATCCAGTGAGTGCAGGTTCAAATCCCACAGTGCCAGACGGAGGATTTAAACTGGATCCAAAAACACAAATTGTGAAGTGTAAACTGTCAGCGAAAGTGACCGTGAAGGAATCTGTTATCCTCCACCCAGTCTGTCAGTGACTCCAGCCCCAAAAATCAACGTGCTTAACTATCCTTCTGTGGCTTAACTTGGTCATCAAATCAAACAGGAGGCTCGCCAACACTATTGCAAAGTGGGAGTCAACTGAGCAGACCCTTAACTCTTTTACCCTGGATTATCTCCAGGTAAGGTCAGAAGTCCAAGGATGCCAGGTCATAGTCCAACAGTTTATTTAAAATAACAAGTTTTTGGAGCACTGCCCCTTCATCAGCGCTCCGAAAGCTTGTGATTTCAAATAAACCTGTTGGACTATAACCTGGTGTCGTGTGATTTCTGACCTTGTCCACCCCAGTCCCACACCGGCATCTCCACATCACATCTCCAGGTAATAAACCATAAACAACGATCTCTTTAGTGACAGCAACACATAGAATGCCTAAAGTGCAGAAAGAGACCATTCAGCCCATCAAGTCTGTATGATCCTCCAAAAAGCATCCCCATCCAAACTAAGTCCCCTCCCCTTCATCCCTGTAATCCCTGTAATCCCACATTTCCCCATGGCAATCCACCTAGCCTCTATATCCCTGAACACTACGGGTAATTTAGCGTGGCCAATCCACCCTAACCTGCACATCTTTGGACTGTGGGAGGAAACCCACACAGACACAGGGAGAATGTACAAACTCCACAGACTGTTGCCTGAGGGTGGAATTGAACTCAGGATCCTGGCGCTGTGAGGCAGTAGGGCTAACTACTGAGCCGCTGTACAACCCTGAGAGTGACTGATTTTAAACAAAAATTACTACTTAAAATTGAACCTGGAATCATGTGTAGGTCAGGTAAGCTCAGTAGATTTCCCTCCCTGGGGATATTAGTGAACCAGATGAGCTTTTAATACAACTGATCATAGTTTCACAATCACTATCACTGAGATTGGATTTATTTATTTATTTCGAACCACCCTGTTCAGAGACACTATTACACACTTTAGGAACCATCAGGAGTTGAGCCCAGGCCGCTGCACCAAAGAACCCTGCCAGATCAGATTTATTAACAGGGTTGAAAATCTACCAGCCACTGCTGTGGGGGTGGAGGGATATTCGAACCCATGTGCCCAGGATTGCCAACTGAGTAACACTACCGGGTCATCCCTAGTTTCCTGTGGAAGGCGCACTGAAGTTGTAACGTGTTAGATAGGCATATGGATGATAGTATAAGGTAGGGGTGGAGGTTAGATAGACCTTAGGATTAGGGTAAAAGTTCGGCACAACATCGTGGGCCGAAGGGCCTGTACTGTTCTATGTTATAATGAATAAATCTGGAATTATAATCTACGATGGTGACCATGAAACCATTCTTAATTGTTGTAAACAACCTGTTTCCCCAGTACCTTGTAGGGCAGGAAATCTTACCTGGTCTGGCCTACAGGTGACTCTAGACGTGGTTGATTGTTAACTGTCCTGTGAAAGGGCCCAAGCAAATCATTCAATTCAAAGGCAATTAGGGATGGGTAAGAAATTCTGTCCCTGCCAACAGTAAGCACATCCTGTGACAAAAACAAAGGAACAAGGAAGGGGTGACAATAAGAATTGGGAGATGATGGCCTATTGGTATTATTGCTAGACCAGATTGCTAGAACTAATGTTCTGAGGACCCCAGTTCAAAACCCACCCTGGCAGATGGTGGAATTTGTATTTAATAAAGAATATGGAATTAAGGGTCTAATGATGGCCGTGAATCCATTGTCACTTGTCAGGAAAAGCCCATCTGGTTCACTAATGCCCTTTAGGGAAGGAAACTGCCATCCTTACCTGGTCTGGCCTACATGTGACTCCAGACCCGCAGCAATGTGGTTGACTCTATACCACCGTTGGGGTGATCAGGGATGGGCAATAAGTGCTGGTCTAGCCAGATATACCCACATCCCATGACTGAATAGTTAAAAAAAATTCTGCATATAAACTGACGTTTTCCCAGCCACCATCAGTTCTGAGGAAGGGTCACTGGACCCGAAACGTTAACTCTGTTTTCTCCTTCACAGATGCTGCCAGACCTGCTGAGCTTTTCCAGCAACTTTGTTTTTGTTCCTGATTTACAGCATTTTTGGTTTCTAAAAAAAAATCTTGTTTGGCCTGGACAGTGGAGTTGCTAGTAGTCTCCACATGAGGAGGTTTGCTACCAGGAGAGATTAGGCTCACTGTTTACTTCTTCTTTCCTTAGATTGTGGTATTTTACATGGAGCTGGTGTTCTTCGTACCCAGTGTTGCCCCCTCTGACACAACGTTAAGCTCACTATTTCCTCTTCTGGCTTTGGCAGGAATGTGCTGGGGAGCCTCTCTTCATGCTGTACTGTGCCATCAAGCAACAGATGGAGAAAGGACCCATCGATGCCATCACTGGGGAGGCACGGTACTCTCTGAGCGAAGACAAACTTATTCGCCAGCAAATTGACTACAAGACGGTGGTAAGTGTGTTAACTGCCCTGGTCCTAAACACTCTGGGAGCTCCCACACTGTGTGGAGAGACACTGTACATTTTCATTCTTCAGCGTAAGGTTCCTCATCATTACCTGGAAATTCTTGAACATTCCAAACTTAGTGATTAAAGTTACTGTGCCCATGGCCCGTGCCAATCTCATGGCTTCCTTTACCAAGATGATAATCACACAGTTACAGCTGTTGAGCGCATATACTTGGTAAACTATCTGTTTGGGTTCCATGTTCAAACCCTTTAACTGGGGTAAAATCAGCAGGGAATTGTGTTTAACCCTTTCCCTCTTGAAAGGTTTGTTTCATTTTCTCAGATTGATTTTTCTCTCAAACATATTCTTTGTGGTTTGCCAGTGTTTTTCCCGCCTGCACCAATCTCCCCTCGCCACCCTTCCCCTCCTCATCTGCTTCCCCCACTGACTCATGGAGGGGGGAGGGGAAGGGTTTCAATGAAGATTCATACTCCCCCTCCCTATGATTACAGTGTGGCAATCAGAGAATGAGCAACAACTTACATTTATATAGCACCTCTGACATAGTAAACTGTCTCACGGTGCCTCAAAGACGTCATCATCATCCAGAACCTGACATCGGGCTGTGCAGGAGTTTATAGTGCATTACCTAAAGTGCCTTTCGCTGGCTCAGGATGTGCCACTGTTATGAACCAGGCCAGTTTTCACATTCCCCCCGTGTCTGCGTGGTTTCCCTCTGGGTGCTGCAGTTTCCTCCCACAGTCCAATGATGCGCAGGCTAGGTGGATTGGCCATGAAAAATTGCCCATAGTGTTCAGGGATGTGTAGATTAGGTGGGTTATAGGGGGATGGGTCTGGGTGGGATGCTCTGAGGGTCGGTGTGGACTTGTTGGGCCGAAGGGCCTGTTTCCACACTGTAGGGATTCTATGATGATGACCTATGATGAAAACATATCAAGGAGATAGCCTAGACCCTAACTTTTGTCTTATTTAAAGGTGTGACATTTCCAGATGTAATTCAGTTGGTTCAAATTACTAGGCTTTAAGCAAAACACACTTTATTCTTACACTGCAGCTAAAATGCAAACAAAAAAAATTGATATAACTTTAACTGTATTGAAATACTTAACAAAATAATATATTACTTACTTACTACTCATCAACCGTTCCAATATAGTAGTTTCCCATAAACACACCCTTGGCAAAGGCAAATTCAGCAAAACAGGTTTTCCTGACTTACTATCTCCTCCAGTCCCGGTGAAGGAACGCTGACAGAATGAATGCAGCAGCAGAGAGAACATAAGCTTTTTGCAGCAGCTGAGAGAAAGCTGTATCTAGCAGATTCAACTCTAAAACCCCCCCAACTTCAACAAGTGAAAACAAAACTAAACCTCTGGGTCTGTGTGAGCCTGACTCCACCCACTCATGCTTCTTTTGTCTAATTTTCAAAATCACCCAAATCTATTTACTCTGCTTTCCATGGAGCAGACACCTTGGTACCAGGTTTACAACACTCTCCTTCAAGAGAACCACGCATTTATAGTCACACTACCTTCAACACACCATCTGATTGAAGGGTAGTTCCTGTTGTAGTTGAAGTGGGCAGTTAAGCTGCACACAGCAAGATCCCACAAATATGCTAGGATAAACAGCCAGATAAACTGGTTTTACTGATGTCGACTGGGGGACATATGTTGGTCCATGATTTTAGGAATCATCCTCCCTACAGCTTCACTGTGAATGGCAGCTGTGGGATTCTTTTATGACTGTCTTATGCACCTAGGGTTAACCTTTTGTCTGAGACTGGCACCGCTGACCATGTGGCACCCCTGACAGTGTGGCACCCCTGACAGTGCGGCACCCCTGACATTGTGGCACCCTGACTCTGTGGCACCCCTGACAGTGTGAACCCTGACAGTGTGGCACCCTGACACTGTGGCACCCCTGACAGTGTGGCACCCTGGCACTGTGGCACCCTGACTCTGTGGCACCCTGACTCTGTGGCACCCTGACACTGTGGCACCCTGACAGTGTGGCACCCCTGACAGTGTGGTACCCTGACACTGTGGCACCCCTGACTCTGTGGCACCCTCACAGTGTGGCACCCTGGCACTGTGGCACCCTGACAGTGTGGCACCCTGGCACTGTGGAACCCTGACTCTGTGGCACCCTGACAGTGTGGCACCCTGGCACTGTGGAACCCTGACAGTGTGAACCCTGACAGTGTGGCAACCCAACAGCATAGAACCCCCAACAGTGTAGCACCCCAACAGTGTTGCAGCCTGATGGTGTGGCACCCTGATAGTGTGGCAACGCAACCGTGTGGCACCCCCGACAGTGTTGCAACCCGACAGTGGGGCACCTCCAACACTACAGCACCCCTGAGCGTACGGCCCCTCTGACAGTGCCAACCTTCTGACACTGCGATATTCTAGAGTGGGGTCACTGACTGTGGGATAAAAGGGGTACAGGTCCACCATCTGTTGGTTTCAGGATGTAGTTACTGATTCGATGTAGGGAAAGGAGCAGCTAAATTGTGAGAAACCATCAGATCACCGGATCATGTTAGCGTCAGGACCTCACTTTCAAGGAAGCGTAGACTAGTTGAATGCAGAAAGAAGTTTTTCTGAAGTTGCAGATTCAGTGAGAACCCTCTGTTTCTGTGGTAGCAGTAACAGCCCCTCACTTGTGCCTGCTTTTCACTAACAGACCCTGAACTGTGTGAACCCGGAGAACGAGAATGCTGCTGAGATCCCTGTCAAGGTTCTGAACTGTGACACTGTCACGCAAGTGAAGGATAAGCTGTTGGATGCATGTTACAAAGGTGTCCCCTACTCACAGCGCCCCAAGGCAGCAGACATGGACCTCGGTAAGAGCTGGCATCATCGATAAACTGGGTCTTGGGGAAAGTGGGAAATGGCTCAAGCTGGAGTATCCTTCCGAATAAGACGAATTGTGGCTCTGAATTACATCTCACGGCATTTGCTATCAGCTCAACTTTGTGCTGCATGTTTAGGTTTAAACGATAGTTCTGTCAGAGTCGCTGGGAGTACGAGCGGGTAATAGAATAATTCAGAACCTGAGGCTTTGGAGAATAACAGGAGTGATTGTTTATCTCTTTATTAATCTCCTCTTATAATTCAAACTTTAAACCAGGGTAAGCAGCTCTGGATGGGCCACTAATCAAACAACTAATGGAAACTTGCTAAATCAAGGTAATCATTTTCTGATGAAGGGTCTAGGCCCGAAACGTCAGCCTTTCTGCTCCTATGATGCTGCTTGGCCTGCTGTGTTCATCCAGCTCTACACTTTGTTGTCTCTAAATCAAGGTAATATTCTTTGTTTTGTGAATTGTGCTTCACTACAAAGGGCTGGGTAATTTGTGCTGTTCCATCACAAGTTTCTCAAGAACTGCATTGCACCCTCAAGCTTCTCAAAGACTTTCAGGAAGTTGATGGATTTGGGTACAAGCTGCTCTCTCAGCATAGAAAATCACCTCTACTAATTAATGGTTCGACGATTAAGGTAGGTTAACATATTACAGACCTTATCATTGTTCATAATGATCATCCAACTCCAAAAAGTGAACAATTATAAAATTATGCCAGTAGCCATTGTGCCTAAGAATGGACTTCCATTCCTGCTCAGAGTCATTTGTTGTCAGAGATTTTAAAAATGCATTTCCTAATTTGTCTTTTTTCCCCTGGTGGAATGATGTGCCCCAGGACCCCAGTCTCTGAAGGCCTTATCCAAAGGTCTATCCCCTATCACTAAATGGTGAGTTGGTGGCATAGCAATAATGCCGCTAGGTTACCAATTCAGGAGCTCAGGCTGCTGCACTGAGGACTTGTGTTCAAACCTCACCATGGTAACTGGTGCATTTAAATTCAACTAACTAGTTAATCTGGTCTCAAAAGGTGGATACAGTAACTATGGTTATAAAGTCATAGAGCTGAACAGCATAGAAACAGACCCTTTAATCCAACTCATACATGCTGACCAGATATCCTAAATTATTCTAGTTCCATTTGCCAGCATTTAACCCATATCCCTCTAAATCCTTCCTATTCATATATCCATCCAGATGCCTTTTATATGTTGTCATTGTACCACTTCCTCTGGCAGCTCATTCCATACACGCACCACCCTTTGTGTGAAAAAGTTGCCCCTCAGGTCCCTTTTAAATCTTTCCCCTCACACCTTAAGCCCATGCCCTCTAGTTTTGGGCTCTCCCAACCCAGGGAAAAGACCTTGATTATTCACCCTATCCATGCCCCTCATGAGTTTATAAACCTCTATAAGGTCACCCCCTCAGCTTCCGATGCGGATGGGAAAATAGCCCCAGCCTATTCAGCCTCTCCCTGTAGCTCAAACCCTCCAACCCTGGCAACGTCCTCGTAAATCTTTTCTGAACGCTTTCAGGTTTCACAACATCCTTTCTATAGCAGGGAGACCAGAATTGAACGCAGTATTCCAAAAATGTCCTGCATAGCCATCAATTGTTGTAAAACCCATCGGGTTCACTGGAGTCATACAGCACAGAAACAGATCCTTCAGTTCAAACAGTCAGTGCTGACCATGTCCCCAAACTAAACTAATTCCACCTGCCTGCATTTCACCCATACCCCTCAAAACCTTTCTTACTCATGAACCTATCCAAATGTCTTTTACATGTTGTAACTGCATCTGCATCCATCACTTCCTCTGGCAGCTCATTCCACACAGAAACCACTCTCTGTGTAAAACATTTGCCCCTTGTGTCTTTTTAAAATCTTTCTCCTCTCACCTTAAAAAATATGCCCCCTACTCTCGAAATACCCCACCCTAGGGAAAAGACTCTTGCCATTCACCTTATCTATACCTGTCATGATTTTATAAACCTCTATAAGGTTACATCTCAACCTCCTACGCTTCAGTGAAAAAAGTCCCAGCCCTATCCAGCCTCTCCCTCTAACTCAAACCCTTCATTCCTGGCAACATCAGGTAAATCTTTTCTGAACCCTCTCCAGCTTAATAATATCCTTCCCATAACTGGGAGACCAGAACTTGACACAGTACTCCAGAAGAGGCCTCACCAACATCCTGTACAACTTCAATAATGTACATCATAATGTCCCAACTCCAATATAAAAACTGAAAGAACTGCGGATGCTGTAAACCAGGAACGAAAACAGAAGTTGCTGGAAAAGCTCAGCAGGTCTGGCAGCATCTGTGAAGAAAAATAGTCAGAGTTAACGTTTCGGATGCAGTGACCCTTCCTCAGAACAGAGGGAGAGTCACCGTTCTGAGGAAGGGTCACCCGACCCGAAACGTTAACTCTGATTTTTTTCTTCACAGATGCTGCCAGACCTGCTGAGCTTTTCCAGCAACTTCTGTTTTTGTCCCAACTCCCATACTCAAAGACTCCTATACTCAATTACTCCTATACTCAAAGGACACTAATGTCCTTTAGTGAAAGAAACTGTTATCCTTACCTGGTCTGGCCTACATGTGACTCCAGACCCACACCAATGTGGTTGGCTGTTAACTGCCCTCTGCAATGGTCCTAGCAATCCACTCAATTCAAGGGCAATTAGGGATGGGCAACAAATGATGCCCATATTCCATCAGTGGACAAAAGATGATAAATAATTAGAGTGAAGACTGAGAAAGGTAAATATGTTGCCAAATTGAAAGATTGGAATAAGAGTGAGGGGAAAAAAGACAAATTAAGAAATGCATTTTTAAAATCTCTGAAAACAATTGACTCTGAGCAAGAATGGAAGTCCATACTTAGTGCCATATGCCTGATGGCTACTGGCGTAATTTTATAACTGTTCACTTTTTGGAGTTGAATGACCATTCTGAACAATGATAAGGTCTGTAACATGTTAACCTACCTTAATCGCCAAGCCATTAATTAGTAGAGGTGATTTCGTATGCTGAGAGAGCAACTTGTACCCAAATCCATCAACTTCCTGAAAGTTTTCAAGAAGCCGAGGGTGCAATGCAGTCCTTGAGAAACTTGTGATGGAACAGCACAAATTACCCAGCTCCTTGTGGTGAAGCACAATTCACAAAACATTTCCTCGTCACTGTGGATTGTGCAAAGGGAGAGGTCAGAGCCTTGATTTTATTTCATTCGTTCACGGGATGATGGTGTCTCTGGCTAGACCAACATTTATTGTCCATCCCTAATTGCCCAGAGGGCAGTTGAGTCAACCACATTGTGGTGGGCCTGGGAGTTACATGTAGGCCAGACCACGTAAGGATGGCAGTTTCCTTCCCTAAAGGATATTAAGGATCCAAATGGGTTTTTCCAACAATCAACAATGGGTTCATGGTCATTATTCGACTCTTAATTCCAGACTTATTTATTGAACTCAAATTCTACCGTCTGCTGTAGCCGGATTCGAATCCACGTCCCCAGAACATTAAATAAAAACCAAAAGAACTGCGGATACTGTAAATCAGGAACAAAAAACAAAGTTGCTGGAAAAGC